TTCCACTTTGGTCCCAACTATTCACAGGTCCTGGAGAAAGCCCCTGGGCTTTCATTAAAAAAAAAAAGACTTTGAGTTTTCATTTTTAAATTTAAAAAATTATAGAGTTAGGGTATCTCTGGGTGCCCTTTTAATTTATGAAACTTCTTGTTGAAATATTTTGAAACAATGGTAAAAAAATGTTTTAATGCCAGCTAGCTGGTGAGATTAACATTACCCATATGGTAAATAAAAATAAAGTAGGCAACTACCATGTCAGGAGCCAAGCTTACCAGGCCCTGGGAGGCAGAGATAAAACACTTTTGTCTCTGCTTCAGGACAAAGCTGCCTCACACAACTCAGGGCAAATTTCGCATGACATTCTATTTGAATGCTGCCCTCTAGTGTTGTGCGGCTGAACTTCCGGGACCTGGGTAAGCAGGGGTATCGTAGTAAATAAAAGAGAGAAGAATAAAGTAGAACTATAGAAAAGGGAGCAGTTAGTTCTGCCCAAGTCAGAAATTTGCATGGAGAATTTAGAATTTGTCATCTTCAACTGGATGCCATCTTTTCATGTATTTGTGGATGAAAAGAGTAAGAGTACAAATTCTTTTTAAGGCAAGACATTTTTTTCCAGCTTTAGCTAACAGGAGAAAAAGTTGAAAAATTTTGTCCAGTGGCTTATGCAAAGATATGTCCCCCTTGATTACTGTTTATCCAAAAGTTCTGTTTTCACAGTAGTTCTTACCAGTTGAGACACGGATTATTCTACTGAATTTTTAGGTTTGAACCTCTATGTGTGCTCCAATTATGGTTAGCAACAACTGTTGAACTGGAACACCCCCCCCCCCAAGTTGTCAGGGGCATAGTTCGCAGGTGGGTGACAAGCACACCTTCTAACTCTCCAGTGTGTGTCCTCTTACATCACTGAGGCAGGAAGAACAAGTAGGTGAGGATATGCATTCTTAATGCTACTGGAAAAATAACACTGAGAAGTCTGGTAGGGTCTTGGCCATAGTGAAGGGCTTTATGGTAAGAATCACTGTAGGTATTTTCTTCTTTTGAAAATGCTGGGGATCAAACCCAGGGCCTTGGGCATGCTAGGCAAGCACTCTATCAACTGAGCCACATTCTCTGCCCCTATTGTTTGTACTTTTTTTTTTTGGTACAGGGGATTAAACTCAGGATCTTGCACCTGCAAGGCAGGTGCAGTGCCACTGAGCTAAATCCCCGGCCCTGTTTGTATTTTTATGGCAGAGACTTCCTTTGATTTCTCAGAGGCTGTGAGTGGCTAAGCTACCATGTGATACAACAGTACCCCCATGTGACTGATAATCTGCCATCATACTTAGCTCACGGGCATAACCTCTCCCCTCAGTCTGTTAAGCCAACACGCCATACTGAACTGGCTTCCTGCCTTTGTTGGGAATGGCAGACTCCATGGAAACATGATACCTTCACTCCAGGCTGTGAAGGTCAGAGAGCTATAACCCAAGGCTGGATGAAAGGGATCGGATGAGGGTTGACCACCAAGGAAGAGGACCTAAAGCAAAAGTTCACATTATTAGCTTCCTGCAACAGGAGAGTCTACAGCTCCTTGCTGTTTTCCCAAGGCCTGCCAAGTTGTTTTGTACAGTACTTAACTTCTTGCATGCCACTGCTTAAATGTGTTGCTCATGTTTTCACCAAGGAAGCTGGCCATTCAGTAGCTCAGTGCGCCACAATTGGCAGCTTGTCTTCAATTTGCCTCACTCCTTTTGTCTGAGGACTGAACTCTGAACCTGCACACTCACAAGCTGCCCCATGGGATGCACACTCCCTCCCTCCAGCCCCTTCCTCCAGCAGCAGCTGGAGAGACCTTCACAACAGAGATGCCAGGAATTCAAGGCTCCCAGAGCCTGCTGGAGACAGGGCGGCTCTCCATGCTCTAGGTGCTCAAAGCCCGAGGCTTAGTGGCAAAGAGAAGCTGAATTACCCCACCAACCATGTGAATTTTCATTTTCTGTGAGAAGCAGTATTCATCCACCACACACATGTGCACCTGGAAAAGCTAACACAGCCTTGACGGCTGCTTATCCTGTTTATTTTTATTTATCTATTTTTTTAATACCAGGGATTGCACTCAGGACTTTGAGCTTGCGAGGCAGGCGGCAGAAGCACTGTGCTGAATCCCCGCCCTTACCCCGTTTATTTTCAATGGCCAGGTGCACAGGCTCATCACAACATAGCCTTAGGTGGTCAGGAGCTCTGCCGTGGCACAGTGGATAAGCAGCCACTTGTGACTTGCCTAGCTGCTTCCCCTAAACCTTAACTTGAACTGTATGGAACTGCACTTTTTTGTGGGTCAAAAAAGACCATAAATTGGCAGCTATATATTGTTCATTGTAACAGAAAAGATCGACAAGATTAATATTTCTGGGGTAACCTCTATGTCCCAGGCCCATAGGTAGAGACTTTACCTATGTTGTCTCTCTAAATTTTTGTTCATGACATCACATCAAGATGCTGGTATTATCCCCATTTTATAGGTAAGACCATGGAGGTTCGGAAAGGCTTAAAAAACTGCTCTAAGGCTTGGTGAGTACAGTTGAGACAGGAGAACAGGGTTCTTAACCTGGAAGGCCTGAACACTTTCACTCTACCATGTGTAAGTTTTGCTCTGTAAAGTCAATGGTAAAGGCATGGCTGGTTCACTTGAACTAAGAAGGAATAATAGTCTATTTGTAAGGAAAAGATCAAGTCCCCTAATTTTTTGTTATTTTTCTACTTACTAGCCTCCAGTGACCTTGTGTTTACAGTTACATACAAACTCACTGAAGTCTCAATATTTTGCTGTTTACCTTTCAAGCGTTATCCCTGTTGCTTAATGTGTATGCCGTGCTCCAGTTCCTAGGTCACATGTTATATTTCCCACGTTTATGGTGATTTTTGACTGTGCCATACCCAGTCCCTATATACCCAAGGTCTGCAGAATCTTCTGCAAACATTTTCCCTATCCTTTGAGGACCCTTTGAATGCCTCTTGGTCCATGACGTTTTTCCGGTTCTCCCAAAAGATGTGAATGGTTTTTCATTCAGAGTCCCACAGCTCCATGAAAGCCTGCCCTATGCTTGCCACTGCTGGTACTCCCAGTGATATAATTAACCAGACACTTCCTCCTCTTCCCTCTAGAAGAGGGGTCATGGAAGAATTATTCCATTGAGGATCAAATAATAAATATTTTAGGCTTTTCTGGTCACATGGTATCTGCCACATCTACTCCATTTGGCTCTTTCTTGTATCCTGAAAGCAGCTAGAAGCGATATACAAATGAATGAGCATGGCTATGTTTCCATAAATTTTTATTACCAGAACCTGGTGGCAAGCTGGATTTGGACAATGGGCCCCAGCATGCCAATCCCTGTTCTAACTTATTGGCTCCTAAATGCTAACATTGTGTCTTCCTCAGGACTATCTTTCTTCTGAACTGTATAGTAACACAGGCAGCACTTATAAATCCTAGTGGAATGAAATAAAATTTTTAATTGTTGAAATCAGAGATGCTTTCTTCAAAGCTATTGTCTGAGGCCCTGAGAATTCTGCAGATTTCCCTCCTCATGCCGTTAATTTTCTGTACATGCAACGGGGCTTTGAGAACCTCTTGACCTGCAGCTGATTTTCCCCTAGGCTGAAGACCTTGCCTTGAAGCTTCAAAGGCAGGCTGACTTCTAAGGAACCATAAAACACCATATATTATCAACCCTTTCCCCTCAAACTCAGGGAACCACCTGTCAGGCTTATGGTTGTAGACTGTTACCTTAGGCTGGGATTCCACTAATGCAACAAAGGAAGGTACACAAAGTGTCTTCTGATTAAAAAAAAAAAAAAAGGGAAAAGGTGGGTTTTGGGGTATTGAAGAAACGCTGAAGATCTTGTAAGACCTTTTCCTTTCACTGAGTCAGCTGGTTACTAAATTTGTAACTGAGCTCAAACAGAGAGCTGCTTGCCACGTGGCTTCATTCATGAATTTATTTGCACAGTTATACGTAGGGTGAGATTTTCACAGGCTTATGTTTCTGCCTAGGGAGTTGATTCCAAAACACAATGGCTCATCTAGATCAGATTTCCCAGGTGCTGGGGAAACCCTCCTCATATACTGAGCATATTTCATGCAATAAAATAACTTTCATCTTCCAACTTTTGGGGGCTTGGCTTTCCATGTATTTTTAGTTCCTGTCAAAGTTCAGCTCTGATCTTCTTTCTAGTCTGAATCACTTGATATGTGAAAAATGATCTATATAATCCTGACTAGGAATCATCAGTGAGTTAGTTTTAATAAAATCAAAATAAGAATATAAAGAGAAAAATTTTCCAAGAATTGGCAACTAGAGTGGTTACTTATTGACTTTTATAAATTTCTTTCTATCAGGGATCTTGTCTAGAAAATCACTGTGGATGCAGACGGGTAGTATTTAAGCACAAGTAGATTAAGAAGTGAGTCTGGGATTTTAGTGATTAAAAGAAACAGACATCAAGTCCCTGCTCCCTGCCTTTCTAATGCCAAGCTTTCTGCAGAGCCAGTGTCTGTGTGGAGCACTGCACATTGGTTACAACGGTTGGAAAGAAATTGTGTTGAGAGTCAACAAAGCCACGTTTTTTCTTGTCAAGATATCTAGACTTTTCCACCCTCGGCTAGTGAGAATTTGTGGCACACTGCAGCTCTCTTCTCTCCTTCTCAGCCCTCTCCCCTGTGCCTCCTGGCCCCTCCTCCCCGAGACCCACCTCTCCGAGAGAAACACTGGTTATTTTAAAGCCATGACCTAAGAAGGCCTCTTGGGCAAGCCACTCAAGCTGCTTCTGCAGCAATTCTAATTGCACATCTGCAGCAAAGCTGCTCTAGCATTCGCCTGGAAAATAAACTCACGCTTCTAGAGCCAGCCCTGGGTGGCCACTCTGCTGCTAGGAAAAGCATGCCCTTTGACCTTTATTATTCTTAGGCCTGACTCCTGAATATTATTTAAGACAACAACAGGAAGCACTAGGTAAAAACTGCCCCCATTCACCCGATGTGTGCCTCTTCCTTTTCAGTTACTTGTAAATGTTTCAAATGTGGTTCCTAATCACACCACCTAGGCAGGGCTCTGTATTTCAGACAAGGCTGCTCTGGGCCGGCACTGAGGTTATCATCTGGTCATGGTGGATGCTGACATCTCTGTCTTGTTGATACGCAGTAGGAAAAGAAATGGAGTAAAGGTGAGTATCAGGGTGGGGAGAAAAAAAAAGGGCCATGTTTGGCAGGGAGCAGTGTTGACGCTATTACTCACATGTGTTGGGAGGCATTGGGGTACAGTTTTGAAAACTGTGGGGCTGAGTCCTCTGGGCCGTGGGGCGCAGCATGGCTGATCACCATCATAATGGGCCTATGGGGATACATTCTCTTAGACATTTTGAAGTAATTAATGCTCTCGTTAGTGATTAAGTCTGTGAAGTAGTCCTGAAACATACATTTGACACAAAACAAAAATTACAAAAGGTGACATTCATCAGTTCACATTTGAATACTACTTTCTTCAGAAGCAACTCACTGAATGAAGAGATAAAATCTAAAACAAGAAAGGAAATGATACCTCTCAAGGCAACTAAACATCTTCAAGAAAAGAGAAAATCAGTTGCCAGTTAATTTCTAAGTCTGCTGGCTTAGTAACATGCAAAAATTACATATATATATATTTTAAGCAATGGACAATTTACCAATTAGGGAAGAAGAAAAGACAAATTGTATTTGCCCAAGACAATGATCTGACCCGGCAATACAAGTGCTAGAACACATGAAACACCGGATACATATTTCATTCTCAGGTTTCATTGATGTAATTCATTGGCAAAAAATTTAATTACTTCAAGGGCAGGAAGCACCCACACCCACACCCACACTCCAGTTGCAGCACACACACACACACACACACACTCACGCATGCACACACAAATGCAAAATACAAGAAAAGATCTTTTCTTCAAATTAAAAATTCACCTGAGGGAATAACACAACTTTGCTGCTAAGCAAAATCGAGGCCCAAATCCGGGAGCACAGAGGAAAGCTGCAGCATTTTATAAATTAATTTACTTGAAACACTTAAATACGGGGAGTGGCTGATTTCCTACAGATTGGGCTGTGTTAATTGTACAACTAAAGCAATACAGCTGCAGGGATTAGAGCCTGACTTGCCAAGAAAATGACTTAACCCCAGCCAGGGGGGACTGATGCAAGTGGTGTGGGGGAGGGAGGGAGGGAACGGAATGAAAAGGAAAGAAGAGATGAAAATTTACATTCAACCACCTGCTTCCTCTAAGTGTGTGTCACTGGCCTGGAGCTCCAGTATGAACTTTATTCAGAGAGTCCCAGGCAATGTTCACAATGTCAAAGGGTTCTAGCCATGACCGGTCACATGTTGTGGATTTAAGGACCAGAACAGCTGCAAAAGCAATGCTAGAGGGACAAAATCTGTGTCACATATCATTGTTAGGACAAGTCCACAGGTTGTCCCCTTCTTCCATGAGAGTATCTTTTTAATTTCTTTCCCCGCTACAAAAAAAAAAAAGATATCTATTCTTTTCAGACACAGTTGTCTTCGACACTTAATCAGCTGTGATAATGAGCAAGTTACGCTGATTTAGTATTTGGAGAGAAGCTTGATTACTTTGCTCTCCTTAGGGCAACAGGGGATGAAAAAGGTTAATAGCTTGAACAAGGAGCATGAAAAGCATCCCTACAGCTAGAAACTGATAACAGGGACAATTAGCGCATGTGGCACACACTGTGTTCACGCTATGATTGTGTCCACAACTGGGGAAATGACCTAGGGTCTGAGATTGGTGGGCCTGCTCTAGGCTGCTTTTTGTTCATCTTAAAAAATTAGAAAGTTACTGAAATTTGCCTCAAAGGTCCCTGGCACTCTCAATTCTGATGAGCCTAGAAGCCTGTTTAGCAATGTCTGTGAATTCATTTGCATTCATTGTTTTCTAAAGGGTATGAAAGATCAGGACTTATACCTTATCTCCCTCTAAGTCCCCTGTGCTCAAATCAGGCCAACAACATTAAATTAAATTCCTTCTTTTGTTTCTACCAAGTTCTCTACCCTGTCAGGAAGGGCTGCTACATAGAGCCAATTCTTGACTTCCTGTAGGTAAATGAGGAAGAGATGGTATGGCTAGAAGGGAAAGTAGGGAAAGGAATATAGTAGGCAAATTAACAAGCTAAATTCAAAGGTATTTTCCCTTTTGCACTTATGATCTGAGAAAAAAACCTTTAAATTTAAGTGCGCAATTTAACACTTCTGTGAATTTCTAAGTCAACTCTAGGATCTGCGTGTTAGAAAACCATGGGGTGGGTCAATTTCAGTTTCTGTGACCTGATTTAGAAATTGTAAGAGTGATAGCCTTAAAAACTTCTGTGGACTCTCACTGCCATGGGGCAGGTGTGCTTGTCACATATACTAAGCTTGGTCAGACAAGGAATGTGGTTTCTTAACCTTTAATTACTGCACTTGTCTGATCTTACTTTTACATCTAAATCTCAAGCCACCAGCAAAATATACTTTCACCCTACCGAAAAGCAAAACAGTACAAAGATGAACATTTGATTATGTGGACAAGTCCTCCAGAGAGAGAAAAACAAAAATTATTGTAAGACAGAATAGATGATCTATCATTTCCTTGATGATACTTTCATCAAAGGCTGATTGCTTTTCAGACTAATGAAGGGGGATCACTATACAGAGGCAGTGTTCCTTTAGAATCTTTTTCTTGCTGGAGTTGAAAATTACCTTAAAATTTCTTATTCTAACACTGTGAGAACATAGAAGGCAATCTTGTGGATAGTTTAACTCACTGAAAATGGCTTTTCCCCATTATGCACAAAGTAAATTGATGCAGTGTAAAAGTGCCCGAAAATTACCTTTGCATAATCAAATCCATGCTTTTCTTTGATGCCATTGCGACAAACAGTGTAATTATAGAAACGAGAATTCTTGATTAATCCAAGCCATTCTCGCCACCCAGGAGGGATATAGCTGCCATTATATTCATTGAGGTATTTTCCAAAAAAGGCTGCAATGGAAAAAAAAAAAAGGGTTATTTTCTCATGTGAAATGATTAATCACAAATAAATGCATAAATATGAAATTATGACTTGAAAAAGAGATGGTGAAATGAAATTTAATCTAGGCAACAGCAATGCCAAAATTTCTCCAGTCCTTTGGCAAAGTGACATACACACATTTTCCTTTTGAATAAATATAAGTAGCACCAAAGTACATGGATTATGGTTCAATAAAATCACCATAATTATTATAACACTCTGGGGAATCTATTTCTTATGATCCTCCTGGAATAAAACCAGAATATGTTCTTTTGTTAAGTGAATGTAACCATCAGAGAAGTACCCAGTGTGAGATTTGGGGTGCTACTGTTTGGCAAGTACTAAAAAACTGTAAGTTTCGTTTTTGTGGCAAAATAAATTTCCTAACTTACTGTTTGAGAGTTGTGAATTATAAAAACACTACCAAAAAATCTTATCTTGGTTTTCACATATCGAAAGAATATACATTTTTCCAAATCAGGGAATGGGTAAAATCTGTTTTTAGGGATATGGTCAGTGTTTTCATGTCACTTTGCATTTTTATGTCATGGCTGTTTATGTATATATATATTTTATGGATATATATCTATTATTGCTAATAAATTCTGGTAACAGAGTTACTACATGGATCACTTAATTTCATAGAATGATAGTATAATAGACGTTTATGTGCAACAAAAACACCGCTATTCATTGAAAAGGCCCCTGGAAGGCCTTCACATTCAAAACTGGCATGTCATATCTAAGAAAGGCCACTATGAAACAGGCTGACTGATCCCTTCTGAGAGAAAGACTGAAAACATGATCCTTTGCTGGAGATGACAATAGGAAAGGGGGGAAAGAGAAAGAAAGGAAGGTGAGATTTCAGGAACAAAATAAGTTGCATATTGAAGTCCAATACCTTTTTTTTTTGGTACCGGGGATTGAACTTGGGTCCTTGTGCTTGCGAAGCAGGCGGTAGAACCACTGAGCTACATCCCCGGCCCTCCAATACCTTATATATATCAGAAGGGTGGCAAAACATGTATTACTGGAATAGTTTTGAGAAAGAGGGTGCTACTTATAATTTTCACGGATACACTAAGAAAACAGGTATAAAAAAGCACTATTCTAGGTAAAACTGTTGGCTGTATTAACCTGAAAATTTTATTTCATATTATATATGAAATATACGGATATGTAGATATATGTCTGTGTGCACACACATGCATACCGATACATACATACATATATGTAGGCAAATTTGAGGTTTCTGATTTATTTTTTGGTACCGGGGATAGAACTCAGGACCTTGTGCTTGCAAGGCAGGGGCTGGAACCACTGAGCTAAATCCCTGGTGGTTTCTGATTTTTATAATGTTGCGACCTTTTGTTTTGGGAAAGACCATGTCCTGTAGCCAGCCTGATGCCTTCCATACTGAAGCTCCTTCTGGCGCCATGAAGCAGGGTTTACAGGTGCTTCCTCATACACTTGTGGCAAATGGTAGCAGTACTGGAAAGACTGGCTTTGGATGACAAAATGGATTCCAGAATCAAAGCATTTTATTGGCATTAGTCTTAAAGCACACACATCTGAATCTTTAACTTATCCAGTGATAAACTCGGCAGTGTTTATTGATGTATTGAATGTTCACTGGTTGAATCTGTGAATGAGTGAACTAATGGAGGGTCAGCCAGCTGAGCCCCCAGTGCTGGAGGATCCTGCCTGCTCCCTGAGTAGGTTGATGGGGACAGGACAAAGTGCCCAAGGGGGTTTTGCATCAGATGCTCAGGATTCTCCTCTGTACCATGTGCAAGAGGAATACTTCTTATCTTCAGAGACTACTTGAGCTTTTCACATGGAACCACAGGATGATTTTCCTGTTCTGACAAAACTCAGTGTGACTTGGAGTCACAGGTGGTGAACCAGGGCCACACCCTACCAGTGGTTAGTGCCAAGGGGGACAGGCTCCAGGAGACTTGTGCTTAATAACCTTGGGCTGGCTCTCTTTGGCCTTCTCCACATCCCCAGAGGTTTATTCGCCTTCTCTGTCTTCTTGTTCTCGAAGAGGTAAGAGAGCATAGTGGTATAGAATAAAATCCTAGAGCCAGCCTGCCTGGGTTCAAATCGTGGCACT